TTTTTTTTTTTTTTTTGTATGAATTCATTTTTTGGGGACCGTATCTTCAAATTTGAGTTTAATTTGTGGATAATCAGAGGAAAACGAGAGTTCATTTCGCATGATTGTTAATTTTGAACTGTTCAAATTTTCTTCTGTAACTACTTGTTGTTTTGTTTGCTTGAGGACAAATAAAGTGTTAAGTGTGGGGGAAATTGTTTATTGTATTTTTGTGCTTATTTTCTTGTGTTTTTCGTGCTTAGTTGAGTCGTTTTAGATTTGTTTTAATGTCAACCGGTCCATTTTATAGTGTTTTATGTGTTTTATTTGGCCAAGCCATTTCGAGCCACCCGAGCTATCCCAGGCCAAATCCGAGACAAGACTCGTGCACTAGGCATTCGCAGCAAACAGTGACTCGAGACTGGTGAACCACCCGTGCGCCCCAGCCTGCCGGCACTCGCGGGGACTTTATTTTGGCGACCCGCAAAACCAGGCGAGCTACACTACTCCGCGCCTCGTCAAATGCCGCGCCTCACACCACCAACACGACACTTGCTGCAAGCAGGCATGCCCAGCACACCATGCCCGCACTCACTGCGAACTTGTGTTCGCGACCTGCGAAAGCGCCCGTGCAGGCCATTTTTACTCAAACTCGCTACGAACAAGGTTTTGAGACCCGCGAACTGTAGAATTTCACTAAATGTGTGTGTTTTTAGTGTGTATTTGTGGTGTAGCTATAAATAGACTTGTTGCTTTGTATTTGAAACAATTTCTCATTTGCTAAAATTTTCTTCTTCGTTTTTTTCTCTCTTCTCTCTCTAGTTTTCTTTCTTTCTTTCTTTAAGCGCTCCAAGACCATATCTTTATTGTAATATTTCTCCATCAAGATTACAACATTCCGGCTTATTTATTCTCGTGGATGCACTAGAGACTTGGAGACTTCGTTTATGGTCCAATCGGAGACTTAGTTGAAGGTCCAAGATCTCGTAAGTCTTGTCTTGTCTTGTCTTATTGGATTCATTATAGGGTAAATGTAGAAGCTTTCATGACTAGAATATGCATTTATCCTTGTAGGCTAGAAATTATGTGATTTTGTTATTGATTGCGTGATCGAGAATTGATTGAGAGCTCGATTAATTGATCGCGAGTGACGATTGCTTGATTGCATGTTCCCAAACCTATAAGTGTCTTCTTTCTATCTCGGGTCATAGGGTACCTTGTTATTTTTCTCTATTCCTTTTTCTTGCAATTTGAGGAGTTGCTTGCTATAAAGTTTTCATCTTTCTTTTGTTTTTGCTTAAAATTGCGTTCTTTAGAGTAATTCAAACCTCAAATTGCGAGTAGAATGTTTAGGAAATTTTATTTTTTTTCTTCTTGTGTGAGTCACTCATTGCTTGTATCCGTGTCCGAATAGCCTTCCTTTGAGAACGACCCGAGTCCGGGTAGCTCGATTACCATCTACCCCAAAATACTACAAACAAACACAAACTGATAAAGAGGCTCGTACATTACCTCAGGTGGTGCAGGAGTTAGAGCGCTCTAGTTAGGAAATCTTGGGGGTTGATTCATCTAGCCATCATGATGAAACTGAACAAGTTGAGATAAGAAGGTGTGCAATGTCTAGAATACCCCATGTTTGGCAGAATGATTATATATGAAACTCCATCACAAACTACATTTTATTGAAAATATTTCACTTGAATAGGAGACAACCAAAGGCACACGCAACTTGGATAAAGCCACGGTGGAGGAATTGCAGGCCTTGGAGCATAATGGAACATGGGAACTCAATGAACTTCTTAAAGGAAAGAGGGCAATTAGGTCTAAGTGGACTTACAAAATCAAGAGAAATAGTGATGGTTATGTGGAAAGGTTTAAGGCACGGTTGGTTACCATGTTACAATCAACATGAAGGTGTGAATTTCTTTGATATTTTCTTCCTTGCGGCTAAGCTAGTCACAGTGAGGATGTTCATAGCCATAACAACTATGAACAAATAGAGCTTGCAGCATGTGGATGTGAATAATGTTGGGACCGATGAAGATCTCGTTAAGTACATGTTACGAATTCAAACAACAACAATAAACCTACCTGCAACGGATTTAGAGGTTTTAAGGTTGAACACTTACACCTTAATATTTGCAGACTCTGAGACGTTGTAGATTCCAACTGTTGGAGATCGTCTCAGAATCCGTTGGGCACCAGAATTACTTCTCGCCGAATGTCGATAAGCTCGTCAGGAGATCGTTGGGTTGCAGCTGGTCGCGGTCGTCGGCTTTGAGCGGGACTGCAGCACGCTGGTAAAGGGGTGGCGCCAATGTGCGATATCATCGCGGGACTGCGGCTACTCGCTGCTGCATCGCGATGGCTCGCGGTGGATCGTCAGATTGCTGGTCGCGCGCGGCTGGTACGCGGGCTCGCGGTGGACACCATGCTCGAGTGCGGTGGTCGCCGGGGCTCGCGTACAATGGTTGATCTCAGTGTTTGGTACCTCTGATCTTCTACTGTATTACCCGACACCTCTATTTATGTCTTGGTGGAGCAACAAAACCGGAGATGAAACTCGACTCGAGAACTAGGAGAGGGGCAGCTGAACATGTATATGCGTGAGGCTTATGTGTTTCTGTCTCCCAATATCATGAGCTTAATGGTTTATTTATAGGGATACAATAGAGATCCTAAGGAGGTGATGATGTGGGCTTCTTAAGTCATTGGGCCCAACCGTGGGCCAAACCCACTTGGTCTAATTACTTAAAAAATGTTTTGATCCACTAACGAAACAATATTGCACTCCCTTATCATCCCCGAATTATATTCAAAATTCTAATTATAATTACTCGAATTAGCTCCACATGTTTAAGGTATAATGTCCACCAATTAATTTGGTTACTGACAATCAAGAATTAATTGATACATTGA